ACTGTAAAGTTATATTACATTGGATTACAAATAACTTTACAGTGTATTACATTCCTTTTTGAAAAAGCAATGTAATACACTGTAAAGTTATTTGTAATCCAATGTAATATAAAGAAGATTATGATGATAATAAAAATAAAAAAAATACACACTGTAGATTCGTCCTGGTTCCCCCATGGCAGAAGCAAGTATGCAGACCTAGGCCAGTGAGAGCCTTAGAATCTGTGCACTCTAATCATCCACTCAAGGTATGAGTCCCAACTTCCACCCTACCATTCCCATATGAAGGACAATCTTGCTGGGTATAGTAATCTTGGTTGAAATTGTTTTTTATTTAACCCTTTGAATATATTTTCCCATTCTTTCCTTTCCTGCATTGTTTCTGATGAGTGGTCCAGTGTTAGCCTGATGGTATAGCCTTTGTAAGTGATTTGACATTTCTCCCTTGCCAATCTTAGTTTCTTGTCTTTGTCTGTCGTTTTGGTCAATATAGCCCCAGCTCCTGTGTGGCAGAAACCAGTGTACAAACCCAAGGCCAGAAATTGACTTGGAACCTCTACTGTCTCTCATTAATCTCAAACTTTATAGTTTTCTGAAGCAGAAGGCATGCAACCACAAAACCGATAGTTTCTTTTACATTTGAAACCCTGTGGCTCAGCCCCAGAGGCATCTGTTCTCTAAAATCTGGGAAGCATCTGGAACACCCAGTTTCAACAACAAAAGTGCAAGTTACAGGGTGAGGGGACTACAAAGAGATCACGGATCAGAGATCACGGATCACATCCTCCCTAATGCCTTTAAAGGCTCAAAATTACCTCTAAGAAATTAGGAAGAAACATATAATTCATCCAATGACCAGAAACCACCACAGATGCACAAGAAATATGAAAAACCAAAAAAAATCACCCCAAGGGAAAATAACAATTCTTCATCCACAGACAGAACAATGGAACTTGTGAAAATATCAGATAAACAATTCAGGATATTTATAGTGGCAAAACTTGATGAGATCCAAACAAAAACTTAATGAATTCCAGGAGAAAAAAGAGAAAAGAGACAACAAGCTATGAGAGTTGAAGAAATCCTTCTACAATTTGAAAGAATAAATAGAAACCATAAGAAAGAATCAAACAGGGACCAGCAGGTGGCATGGTGGTTAAGGTGCTGGACACTCCCACATGGCTGACCATGGTTCGAGTCCCAGACCTGGTGGCTTGCTTTCTCACTTTCCCTTTCTCTCTCTCTCTCTCTCTCTGTGTGTGTGTGTGTGTGTGTGTGTGTGTGTGTGTGTGTGTGTTTGGTCAAATTAAAATAAATGAATGAATAAAAAAAAGAATCAAGTGAAGCTGTTAGAGATACAGGCTGTAATACAGGAAGTCAAAACCTCCCTTGAAAGTATTAAAAGCAGATTAGGTATAGGAGGAGGGTGGGAAATGGCAGAGGGTGAGCATTAGGGAATCAAGGGGTAGAGGAGAAGAAGCAAAATATATAAGAAACAATAAATGAAAAATTATATGTTGACCATAACACATAGAGTAATATCCTTGATTGAGCCAATATACAGTGTATTCTGGATGGAAAAATATCATTTTTTATACTGTAATGATGTACAGTGAATGATGTCAATAAAAAAATTAAAATAAAACAAACAAAGTAGATTAGGTTATGTGTTATATCAAATCTCAGATGTAGAAGACAAAAACCTCTGATATAGAAAAAAAACACCAAGAAGAGAAAGTAACCCAAAACCTAGGATAGTATATGAGAAATACTAGGTTCGATTAAATGTACAAACATCCAAATAATTGGTATCCTGGAAGGTGAAGAAACTAATAAGGCATTGAAAATCTATTTCCTGAAACCCTGGGAAGAAACTTTCTAAGCCTAGAGAAATATTAAAACATCCAGACCCAAGAAATACAATGGACTCCAAAAAGAATCAACCCAAGAAGATCTTCATGGCACATCATAGCCAGGCAGGCTAAAAAGCACAAAGACAAGATACTAAAATTGGCAAGAGAGAAACATCAAGTTACTTACAAAGGTTATCCCATCAGGGTAACAACAGATCTCTTGTCAGAAACAATGCAAGTGAGGAAAGAATGGGGAAATATATCAAAGCATTAAATGAAAAACAATTTCAACGAAGATTACTATACCTGGCAAGATTGTCCTTCATATGGGAAGGAAAGATAAAAAACATTCTCAGATAAACAAAACCTGAAATAATTTGCCAACTCCAGACCAGCTGTTCAAGAAGTTCTGAAGGGAGTGCTATATCAAGAAAACTAAAGACAGAAAGACAGAAATAAGAGAACAAAAAACAACCAAGAAAATGGCCAACTTAACCATAGGGACAAGTACAGAAAAATAAATAATAACATTGAATGTCAATGGTTTAAATTTTCCAATCAAGAGACACAGACTGGGCTGACTGGATAGTAAAACAGAAAACTCTCTATCTGCTGCTTACAAGAAATCCACCTTATGGATAAAGACATACATAGACTAAAAGTGAATGGATAGAAAAAGATACTCCTTGCAAATGGAAACCTAAGAGCAGGAGTTGCGATATTGATTTCAGACAAAATAGGCACTAAGGCAAAAATGTAAGAAGAGACAAATAATAATATGTAGTAGCAAAAGGGCTAATTCATCAAGAAGATATAATGTTTATTAATATCTATGCACCCAATTCAGGAGCTCCCAAATATGTGAAGGAAAGACTACTAGATTTAAAAGTAGAGGTAGACTGCAACACACTAATTGTTGGGGACCTCAACACTCCGTTATCTCCTTTAGACAGATCAATGAGACAAAAAATAAGCAAAGAGATATAGGACATAAACAATACCATAAATCAGATGGACTAGACAGACATCTATAGAACTTTCCACCCCCAAACAACAAAATACACATTTTTCTCACCTCCACATGATACCTTCTCTAAGATTGACCATATGATAAGGCACAAAATCCTATGAGCCTTTACAGACTCAAAGGCATAGAAACTGTATCCAGCATCTTCTCTGACCATGATGGAATTAAACCTGATATTAATTTCTGAAAAATCCTCAAACACATGGAAACTAAACAACCTACTCCTGAACGACTTCTCGACTGCTGAAGAAATTAAGACTGAAATCAAGATTTATGGAAACAAATGTTAATGAGTACATAAGTTTCCACAGTCTATGGGACACCATAAAAGCAGTCTTAAGAGGAAAATTCATAGCAATTAGTGCACATAAGAAAAAGACTGAAAGGTGGCAAATAGACAATGAAATATCATGCCTCAGGGAATTGGAAAAACAATAACCAAAAAAATGCCAGGATAAAATAAATAATAAAAATCCGAGCAGAAATAAGTGAAATAGAAAATAAACGAATTATACAGAAGATAAATGAAAGCAAAAGCTGTTTCTTTGAATAGATTAACAAGATTGAGACACTATTAGCTAGACTGATTAAGAAGAGAGAAAGGAACCAGATTAATCAAATTCTCAGTGAAACAGGCAATATTACAATAGACACAATAGAAATACAAAACATCGTTAGAGACTACTATAAGTGACTATCAAACAACAAACAGAAAGATACAGAGGAGACGGACAAATTTCTGGACATATATAATCTACCAAGATTGAATCAGAAGAACATATAAAGGCTCTATAGACCCATAACAAACAATGAGATTGAATCAGTAATAAATAACCTCCCAACAAAGAAAAAAACCCAAAAACACCTGGTCCTGGTGGCTTCATGTCTGAATTCTACAAAACTTTTAAAGAAGCTTTAATCTCCATTCAACTGAAATTATTTTTAAAGATCCAAAAGGAAGGAACCCTCCCAAATTTATTTTATGAAGCTTCCATCACCCTCATCCCCAAAACAGACAAGGTCATGACAAGAAGGAAAACTCTAGACCAATATCTCTGATGAATAAAGATGCAAGAATTCTCAACAAGAAACTACAAATCTTACCGAATAACGTATAAAAAAGACTATTCATCATGACCAGGTAAGCTTTATTCCAGGGATGCAAGCATGTCACCATACATAAAACTATAAGTGTAATACAACATATCAACAGAAAAAATGATTTTAAAAAAGCATGTGATAATTTCAAATGACACAGAAAAAGCATTTGAGAAAATACAGCATCTCTTTATGATTAAGACTCAGCAAAATCAGCATAGAGGCTCACTGGTCAACACTATAATAGCCATCTATGTAAAACCTATAGCTAATATTATACTGAATGGGGAAAAGCTGAAAGCTTTTCCACTGTAAACTGGTACAAGACTAGGCTGCCCATTTCCCCCACTCCTTTTCCAATATAGTGCTGGAAGTCCTGAACAATGCAAACAGAAAAGAGAATAATATCAAAAGCATTCAAATAGGGTTGAAAACATCTTTATTTGCAGATGACATGATGGTATACATAGAAGACCCAAAGTTATCCATGAAAAAATGTCTCGAAGTAATAAAACACAGTAAAGTCACAGGATACAAAATCAACATCCAAAAATACATAGCATTTCTATATACAAACAACAAGCTGACTGAGGTAGAACTGAAAAATGTAATCCCTTTTACCATAGGCACACAAAAAAATAAGATACCTAGGGGTAAATCTAACCAAGGAAGTCAAAGAACTTTATAGGGAAAATGATGAAAACCTTTAAAAAGATCATGAAAAAGACACCAAAAAGTGGAAGGACATCCCATGTTCTTGGATTGGAAGAATTAATATAATCAAAATGGCAATTCAACTCAAACTAATGTACATATTTAACACAATACCCATCAAATTACCAGAGATATTCTTCACAGATTTAGAAAAGACAATCATTAATTTGTCTGCAATCATAAAAGATCCCATATTGCCAAAGCAATCCTGGACAAGAAGAGTGGAGTGGGCAGCATCTCATTCTCTGACATTGAAATATATTACAAAGCTGTGATACTCAAATCAGCATGGTATTGGAACAAAAAAATAGACAGGTAGACCAATGGAACAGAATAGAGATCCTAGAAATAAGCCCCAAAACATACAGTCAACTAATTTTTGACAAAGGATACCAGTCAATCCAGTGGGAAAAAGAAAACCTCTTTAGCAAATGATGCTGGAAAACTGGGTATACACCTGCAGAAAGATGAAACTATACCCCCATCTTTCGCTATCAACAAAAGTCAACTCAAAATGTATCAAAGATCTAAACCTAAGACCTCAAACTATAAAACTAATGATAGAAAACACTGGGGAAACTCTGGGAGACATTGGGGTAGGCAAACACTTCTTAAATAAGACCCCAAAGCACAGGCAATAAACCCTTAAATAGACAAGTGGGATTACATCAGATTAAGAAGTTTCTACACAGAAAAATATACAGTAATTATTGTGAACCGACAAACCTCACAATTGGAGGTATTTTTTTTTTTTGAGAGATTTTTGCTATAGGTCGTGTGTGCTTGCTATAGAGACAGAAAGAGACAGAGATACAGAAAGCAATACATCATCTGCCAGCGGGGATGACCATGCTACAATCTCCTTTCGTCCATTCTCCTCTTGGGATTTTGGGGAAGCACACATAGGTACCTGGCATGAGTTTTAAGCTGCCGGGTGCAGGACTTGAACATGTGGGAGTCCAGCAATGTAAACATTGTGCCATCTGCTGGTCCCCAGAATGGGAGAATATTTATATAAACTATGCCTTCAATACGGGGCTGATAGCCACAATAAGCAGGCAACTCAAGCAGTTTATCCGAAATAAAAATGATTAACCCAATTAAAAGATGGGAAAATGAGCTGAGCAAAAATCTCTGGAAGGAAGACAAACGAATAGTCAAAAAGTTTATGAAAAAATGCTCAAGGGAACCAGCAGTTAGAGTAATGGCTATGTCGCTGGACTCCCACGTGGTTGACCGCGGTTCGCATCCCGGACCCTGTGGCTTAAAACTCACGCCAGGCGCGTGTGCGTGCGTGCCCAAGATCCCGAGAGGAGAATGGAGAAGAAGGGATTGCAGCGTGACAATCCCCTCTGGGGGGTGATTTCTCGCTTTCTGTCTCTCTGTCTCTCTCTGTCTGGCAAGCGCACGCGCCCTACAGCGAAAACCTCTCCAAAAAAAAAAAATGCTCAACATTCCTCATCATAATGGAGATGCAGATCAACACCACAATGAGATACCACCTCACCCCTGTAAGAATGGCGAATATTAAAAATACAAAAGTGATAAATGTTGGTGGGGTTGTGGTGAAGGGGGAACTTTTCTACACCATTGGTGGGAATGTAAACTAGTTCAGCCAGTGTGGAAAACGATATGGAGGTTCCTCAAAGACCTACAAATAGAACTACCATATAAACTAGCAATTTCACTTCTGAGTATTTACCCAAAGGACAGGAGAATGCTCAGTTGGACAAGTGCTTGCACATCAATATTTATTGCAGCATTACTCATGATCGCTAAGACATGGAACCAAAATATTCATGAACAGATGAATGGATTAAAAAAGTGTGACACATATACTCTGTGAAATACTATTCAGCCATATAAAAAAAGACCCTGGGGACCAGCAGTTAGCGTAATGGCTATGTCACTGGACTCCCATGTAATTGACCGCAGTTCGCGTCCCAGACCCGGTGGCTTAAAACTCACACCGGGCGCATGTGCGTGCGTGCCCAAGATCCCAAGAGGAGAATGGAGGAGAAGGGATTGCGGCATGACCATACCCCCTGGGGGGTGATTTCTCGCTTTCTGTCTCTCTACCTCTCTCTGTCTGTCTGGAGAGCGCATGTGCCCTATAGCAAAAACCGCTCAAAAAAAAAAAAAAAGACCCTGGCATTCAATAGAAAGTGGATAAATATGGAAGATTTACTGTTGAGTGAAGCAAGCCACGTTACGAAGCAGAGACATGTATGTCTCAACTTAACATATGCCGAATGTCCGCACTCTATGCTAGAGACTGAAAGATTGGAGGGCATAAATGCATTGAAAACAATTAAGGATGTTGGAGACAGTGTGGAGGGAGGGTGGGAGAGTGGCATAATGTAGGCAAGAAAATTACGGAGGAAATATAGAGTAGCAAGACATTTGTGGGGCACAGAAATGGTTTATTATCTGTTGAAGATAGTGTGTATAGTATTCTCAACTGGACTGGTCTAAGGTGTACTTCATGTTGGGTAAATTCTCTTTACAAGCTAAATGCTGTTTAGCGATTGAATGTATAAAAGAAATTAAAATAATTTAAAAATTAAAAAAAGGAAATTACACACTGTATATCCCCACTCAGTTTGTACCAAATATTTGCACTTCGTTGCAGAAATTGAGAGATCTGAAGATAAGATAATAGAGGATAAGGGTAGATATCAGAAACTATTAGGGAGGAGAGAGGATGGTAGAGATTAAGTGATAGAGAGGGTGAGTGTGAGGTGCCAAGGGTAGAAACATTTAACAGACCGCCCCCTCAAAAAAAAAAAAAGCAAAATGCTCTGTTGGAAAAAAAATATATATAGTACACATCATGATGGGAACTTTAAGTAAAATGTGAAATTAATCTAAAAAAAATTTTTTTTTTTGGCAAACCAAAATATGTCCCAAGAGTCATCAGAGAAAATTTGCAATAGCTTTCAGGCATTTTTCTACACCTTTCTCCTTGCCATTAAATCATTACAGAGAGAGGTTGTATATCTACCTCAGAATAAATACATTGTGTGGTACAACCAACAGATTTGCCACTTGATAGGAAGAGATAATTGAATTCATAGATTCCCTGCAATACTCAGAATTGATCCTCCTTTTACCCTAGGTTGTCTGATTCCCTCCTATCTTAGGATAGATTTTCTTCTCAGGAGCTTAGCAGCTCCTTTTGCAATTGAGTTCTGGTGTCTGCTCTACACATTTCTAAGATATGCTCGAACATGTCTAAATCTAGGCAAAGACACAGTTTAAGCTTAAATTAAGGCCTCTCTGTACGCCGCAAAGATGTATAGTGATTAAATATAAGTAAAACAAAAAAATAAAAAAGCTAAAAAATAATTAAAGCGAAAAGAATTACTTCTCTATCTCACTACACACACATTGGCAGCACATACTGGTTCCATGTGATATTTTACACCAGAATGGCCCTACATCATAGCCCCCCCCAAAAAAAATATATATATATATACACACTTTTTTTTTTAATTTGAGAGGTTTTTGCTATAAGGCGCGTGCGCTCACCAGACGGACAGAGAGATAGAGAGACAGAAAGCGAGAAATCACCCCTCAGGGTGGATGGCCACGTTGCAATCCCTTCTCCTCCATTCTCCTCTTGGGATCTTGCATAGCCCAGATATTTACATAATTTTCTAACATTACCCTCTACTTGAGGGTGACAATATTGAAATAAAAATACCAAAACTAATGATGCAAAAAAAACCGAACTAAGTTTTCTTTGCTTGGTTTTTGTAGAAAGCCTAGGGCAACATTAGAGTGTAGAGAGAAACTCTAGGTTTGGAAAGTGATTAGGAGCTCTTTATTATCTTTTTCCTACCCATACAGCACAAAGCTCCCCCTGCTAACCTTCTAAACCACACACACATAGCACTTGAGAAACTTAAAAAAATAAAAAACAACTTTGGAGGCTGACATCTAGTTGGTGTATTTTCCCGTCATGCAGCAGGACCAAGAATGAAGGTCTCTTACAGGAGTCAGGACTTGAGCTGAGTCTAAAATAAGAAAGGAAGGACTTTTAGGCTGGAGAATAGCATCTTAACTTCCTTAAGAAGACCCAGAATTGAACAAGAAAGCACCTTGTTGAATCCAGTTTTGTCATGGACTGACTCAATGTATGACTTTAAGTCCGAATTCTTCCCATCTCTGGCTTCAATTTTCCTTTTTTTTTTTTTTTTTTTTTTTTTGGTTTTTTGCTATAGGCGCGGTGCTCTCGCCAGACAGAGACAGAGACAGAAAGCGAGAAATCACCCCCCAGGGGGGATGGCCACTCTGCAATCCCTTCATCCTCCTTTCTCCTCTCGGGATCTTGGGCACACACGCCCGGCGTGTTTTAAAGCCACCGGGTCCGGACGGGAACCACGGTCGACTACTTGGGAGTCCAGCGACATAGCCATTATGCTAACTGCTGATCCCTTTCCCATCTTTTTAATTAATTGGTTGAAACAGATTGTCATCTAGAGGAATCTCCGGGTTTATTAAAACGGAAAAAAATATTACTCGGTTCTAGTCCACTCGCTGGACTATTGGGAAATTTGGCCACTACTCTAGGGTTTACTTTCCTCATCTATAACATAGGGAAAATTAGTTTCCAGTTTACTTTATAATGTTGCGACAAATCAGTGAGATAACAGAAATGAATCAGTTTTGTCTGTTTATACTGCGCCGTACACTTCTGGAAATGTCGAAAGAAGAATGTAGTTGGAGCAAAGGTAAAAAAGATTTGGGATGGAAAAAGAAAAAGAAAACGGAAGCACAGTAGGAATAAACGAGGGTATTTCAAAGACGATAACAAAGAGAAAGTGCAACCGATCAGGAAATCGAGGGGAGGGCCACATGGAGGCTGGGTCATGTTGTTGGCGGAGCCAATTTGGTAGTGCACCGAGGTTGGGCGCGGGGGCCTATTTGGTTGTGACGCCCACCCCAGTCTTTCATTAAGCATGCCCAAGGGCTTGTGCAAGATTAAGATGGCGGTGTTTGAGCTGGTGGCTGTTGCTTCATGCTTACCGGGAGTGGAGGGCGGCCGAAGAAACTCCGAAGTTTTCGTGTTTTGGTGAGTGCCGAGTCTCACATCAGCTAGAGAAGTGGCCCATAGTGGAGTTATACACTTTGGGATCTAGGTCGCACGGCCTGAGTGGGGGAGGGAGGAACCCGCGTGTATTCCATTTTAATCTCTTCAAAATAGCGGTAGCGGGGAACAGTTTCTCTCTCCCTGATCACCTTACCTCCACTGATGAGGCTAGAAGGTTGCGGAAGCTAGGTCCTAGGAGGGAACCTAGCTTGGTCTTGGTCTTCCCCCACCCCCCTGGTTTTTACTTGTCTGAATCTCTCTCTTTTTTTTTTTCCTTGTCTAAATGGGTTTTTATTGACCCCATGCCGCTCAAAAATGAAATACTCTTCCCCAGAGCTCCTGTCTTTTATTATTTCCGTAAAGACATCCAAACTTCATAGTTTTTAATAAACTAATCTGTATGTAATGCATTTATTACAATCTAGGTTAAAAAAAATATGACCCACATGAGGACTTTAGGACATAGAACTAACATTTGTTCTTGAAGCATCTCAAAGGCGTGTGTGTACATGTGTGTCTGTGTGTGTGTGTATAGGTAACCTGTGGAAGACTTACCACATTTTTTGATTGCTCGGTTGAAAATGTAAGGTAGAAAAAATAAGAGCTGTATTTCCCATGTTCAAATCTCCTGGTGACAAATTTATGCTAAGCATAACATGTTTTATATGGGAAAGACAGGAAGGACAACATCTGTTGTTAAATGATTATGTGGTTAAAATAAATTTCATTTTCCACACATTGCAGAGAGAGTATGAATTGCTGCAAGCTTTTGTAAAAGTAATCTGGCAATATTTAAGGAAATAAAAATATGTAGATGTCACTTGGCCAAACACAGGAACCCAATAGTGTGACTTTTAAGGATACATCCTACAGAAATTAAAGTACCAATATATAAAGACACATGAATAAAGATGCTTGTACAGCTCTGTTCTTATGACAACTGACTGGAAACAACCTGTGCATGCATTCTTTGGAGAATATTTGAATTAATTGTGGTACATTACCATTATGGGATGGCTCTTTTAGCCTAGAGGATGCTGTGATGGATAGTTATGGAAGAAGGTAAATTGCAAAATATAGTAGTATAACTTATTTTTTTGGTGGCAGGCAGGTGATAAAGGAATTTAAGTTAACTTTTAAAAATCTTTTTTGGAGAGCTTTATATATTTTGAAATACTTAAGACATAGTTAGACATAAAGAATAATAAAATGAACCTCTATTCTCATCACAACATAAAAACAATTAATGACCAGCAGTTGGCATATGGCTATGTTGGCGTATGGCTATGTTGGCGTATTGCCATGTAGTCGACTGCAGTTTGAGTCCTGGATCCGGTGGCTTAAAATCACTCTGGGTGCATGTGTGTGCGGGCGCAAGATCCCAGGAGGAGAATGGAGGAAAAGGGATTGGCAAGATCCCGAGAATGGAGGAAAAGGGATTGCAGCATGGCCATTCCCCCCCAGGGAAGTGATTTCTCGCTTTTTGTCTCTCTGTAAAAAAAAAAAAATTAATGATTATAGTTGAAGTTCTATGTACCCATCTCTGATTGCATCTCTCTATTCCTTCATCCCTAGAAGTAACCATTATTATTATTATTATTTTTTAGAAGTAGCCATTATTATAAACTTAGTGATTATGCAGATTTCTCCCATGCATTTCTTTTTTTTTTTTTAAGATTTTTGCAATAGGGCACATGCGCTTACCAGAGAGACAAAATGCGAGAAATCACCTTTGAGGGGTATGGCCATGCCGCAGTCTCTTCTCCATTTTCTTCTTGTGATTCTGAGCACGCATGGACACATGCCAGCATGCGTTTCAAGCTGGCAGGTCCAGGACTTGATCCGTGGTTGGCCATGTGGGAGCCAGCAACGGAACTATTACACCATGCATTTCTTAAACTTTTGTGGCACATGAACTTGCTACTGTTTTTTTTTTTTTTTTTTTTTGTAAATATTGACGATGAGTTAAAAAGGAAGTTGATGAATAAATTTAAGTCACTTAAAATAGAAGTTTCTTAATAGAGAGGAGGATCTAGGTAGCTCTTGAGCCAAAGGGAACTAGACTACACATCAGTGAAAAAGAATGTACACAGCTTGTACCGGAAGCAATTTCAAACAAATAATGAATGGTTTGTAAGCAAGATGCCAGAAAGGGGAAAACCAAACCAAACCAAATCCTGGATCCCACCCCAAGGCCAGGGTGATGAGAAGCCTGTATTTGCTACTAGACAAAAATCTATGTATTTCAGTTGCCTCGGAGGTATTTGAAGGAAATGATATTGCTCATAGATGTATCAGGTGTTTCTAGAATATTAATGTAATTATGTTAAGCTGAGGTGGACAAAACATTTTATCAATCATTTAGGTTTAGATCACAGCTTTTGTATAAAAAAAAAACTATTTATTTATTTATTTATAATGGAATAACCCTGTAGACAGCTGACTAGAATATTCACGATTTTTAAACTTTTCAACCCTTAGGCAGAACATATAATAAAATTTGCATAAACTGAAACATTGTACCATTTTTGCAGTGTTTGGTTGAAATTTTGTTGACTATTAGCATGTTATTTTTGCATGTATTCTTTTTATGAGGGCAGTGTTTGACACCATTTTATTTTTGTTTTTTTTTTTCTCTATTGACTAGTAATTGGTTCATTTGCAGGGACATTGTTCTTACCTTCCTGTTCAAAGATGCATTTTATTAAGAGAGTATGTTATAGTGAAAAAATTGACAAGCTAGACTTAGATTTTGGCATTAAAGGTAACTGGGATGTGAGAGATTTATTTGTAAGAAGCTATATTAATTAAATAGAATGTTAAAGATTGAGAGGCTAATAACTTGTGGACTAGGACCATTACTCAAAATTTGTTTGGAAATATTTCTATTTCTCATTGCCTCCCTTTGTAAAATTAAGAGTTTTCCCTCTTTTTTTTTTATTAAGTGTTCTTTTTTTTTTTCTGCTGGTTTCAGTTTCTTTTTCCTCCTAAATATCACTTCTCTTATGCTAAATTTCAACATTCATATGAAAAGACACTTGTTCTTGGCAAGTATTTGATTACAAATTAAAATATTCCCCCATGTCTTTAAGCACCACTTAAAATACTAAGATGTCAGTGTTAAATTTCTGATTTTAATAAAGGAAATTCTTAACAACATTAAATAAACATTGTTTCACTTAAAATGCTGATTTTAAAAATACCTGAAAATAAAAAGTATAATTATTGCTTCTAAAGTTAAATTGGTACAATATATGATAGAACTGAGACAAAAGCAAACTGCACCAAAGCAGTTATATTACCAATCTTTATCACTATTTTATACAGTTCTAAAAGCCATCTTTTTACAGTTTTTACAATAAAAGGATGCCCTGCCACCTAGATATGTAAATTTTGTACATGTTAAGATATATCCAGAGAATATTACTGTGTTTAACCAAAGCAATGATTTCATTTTTTTGCATATTAACTAGAATAATGTGTAAAAAACATTAATGTGAAGTTCTGTAGGTGTATTGCTTTGCCAGATAATGCAGAAATTCACAATTTACTTTTTCATTATTTAAAAAAATGAAGCAATTATTGTACAATCCCTGGAATTGTAAAACAGCTATTCTTTCCATTTACATAATTGAGGGAAGTATTTTAAATGTCAAAATATAAGCACCAAAATTCTAAAAAGTTTACAAAAGCTGTTTAAACATATAAGGTGTATTAATGAATTACATTGGCTCTGAGGGAAGAAACAATATCCTAATGCTCATTGTATTTAAGAAATAATTGCTTTGAACTTGGTTTTTGGCAAAATAAAAAAAATACTGCTTTTAGCCTTTTTATACTAGCCATCTAAAATTTAGTGACAGTTTGATCCCTAAATTTATGTTCTATCACTAAATTTAAGATTCTTTCTGTATAATAAATACCTAAAGCTCTTAAAAAATTTAAAAATGTCATTTAGTGAACATCTAAAATTTACAAAAAAGTCATTTCATTTTTATGTAGGATCAGGTTTGAAGTCACTTTGAGTCAAATACAGTTATTTAAAAAATGTATCAATCCACTCATAATTAGAAATTTTATAAATATGGCACTATAGCTTTGGATAATAATTGCTGTTATGAAGTTAGATGAAGTAAATACAGAATATCTTGGTTTACAAATCAAAATGACGGTGATACTAAAGCATATCTCTTTCAGACCACTTGGTCAGTGCTGAGAACACTTAAATAAGGAAAATATATGACAGTGTTGCTCTAAAAGTACTGACTTAACTGTCATGAATGACCTAATTAAGGTGGGGAAGGAGACTTGGCCTGGTTCTTCAGTTCTGTGGAGCTGCCTCACTCTAAATAGCTTGTACAATGTCAAGTTATTCTGATTGCTATCACAAAATCCATTGTGGTCCTGAATGCCATTTACATTTATATTTATGTTTTACTGTGTACATTGAAAAAATAATTTTACTGTGCTTTTCACCTATCTGATGTAAGTTTTGATATCAAATTTTTTTTTCTCAGTTTTTTGGGAAGGGAAGAAAAAGTCTAAGAAAAGAGAGGCATACCAGAAGGGTTGGAATGTGGGACCAGCAGTTAGCGTAATGGCTATGTCACTGGACTCCCACGTAGTCGACCTCGGTTCGAGTCCCAGACCCGGTGACTTAAAACTCATGCCGGGCGCGTGTGCGTGTGTGCCCAAGATCTCGAGAGGAGAATGGAGGAGAAGGGATTGCGGCGTGACCATCCTCCCTGGTGGGTGATTTCTCGCTTTCTGTCTCTCTGTCTGTCTGGCGAGTGCACACGCCCTATAGCAAAAAAAAAAATCCAAAAAAAAAAGAAGGGTTGGAATGTAGAGTAATATTACAGAATTAGCCAAATGTCTTTTTAATTTAAAAGTTGAGGGACCAGCAATTGGCATAATGACTATGTAGCTGGACTCCCGTGTAGTAGACCACAGTTTGAGTCCTGGATCCCGTGGCTTAAACTCACACCGGGTACTTGTGCGTGCCCAAGATCCCGAGAGGAGAATAGAGGAGAAGGGATTGTGGCGTGGCCATCTGCCCTGGGGGATGATTTCTGGCTTTCTATTTCTCTGTCTCTGTCTTTCTGGTGAGCACATGTGCCCTGTAGCAAAAACCTCTCCAAAAAAATAAATAAAAAATAAAAAAATTGCTGTCATCGGGACCAGCAGTTAGCGTAATGGCTATGTCGCTGGACTCCCACGTAGTCGACCGCAGTTCGCGTCTCGGACCCGGTGGCTTAAATCTCACACCGGGCACGTGTGCGTGTGTGCCCAAGATCCCGAGAGGAGAATGGAGGAGAAGGGATTGCGGCGTGACCATCCCCCCTGGGGGGTGATTTCTCGCTTTCTGTCTCTATGTCTCTCTCTGTCTGTCTGGCGAACGCACGCGCCCTATAGCGAAAACCTCTCCAAAAAAAAAATAAATAAATAAAAGTTGCTGTCATCACAAGGCAATATATAAATTTAAGTAAAAGACAACCATTTTTTCCCCTAAAATCTATATTACTCTGTGATAGATTTTTACAGAAACCAGTATATATATCAATATATTTTCACATTCTGTTCAATTCACTGGATATGCATTCAGAATTGTCATATATTATTAACCATTGCAATCTAAACACTGTATTTTCAGGGAAATGTGCTTAGAAATGATTTAGTGATTTGCACATTATTTTGACTATTTACAAAGATATCTATTTATATTAGCAATAAATAATTCTGAATGCTCATGCACACACCAAGGTGGTTGTATGCTCTTAAAATATTTACATGTAGTTAATCTTTTAGATCTCTCCCATTAAAAGTGAAAGTGTGCTTTCCATTTGCTCCATGTTCCTTTTAGTGTTGCTTCTGAGGGATGTATCCTTCCATTTCTGTAACTTTGGGCCATCCTTCATATTTGTTTGTATTCTTGTTGTTCTTTCTGTACTGTTCTAAAAGGGCTTTTTGTCTTAATTCCTTTTCCACCTCAGAAGACCCAATTGTCTCTAAAACCAAGATTAGTACTAGGTGTACTTCCCAATTTGGCAGTGAGCCACCATGCCTCATCATTGAGTTTGGTTACTCCATCATCATATATTCTCGTTAAGACTATTGTTCCAGGGAGCCAGCAGTTAGCGTAATGGCTATGTCGCTGGACTCCCACGTAGTCTACCGTGATTCGCGTCCCAGACCAGTGGCTTAAAACTCTCGCCGGGCGTGTGTGCATGCGTGCCCAAGATCCCGGGAGGAGAATGGAGGAGAAGGGATTGCGGCGTGACCATCCCCTCTGGGGGGTAATTTCTCGCATTCTGTCTCTTTCCCTCTCTCTGTCGATCTGGCGAGTGCATGCACCCTATAGCGAAAACCTCTCCAAAAAAAAAAGACTATTGTTCCATTTTGTTATGACCTTCAGTAACTCAAAAGACACTGTCACATCTCCTCCCTACATGTAAGAGTATTTAGTGTCTAATACTTCTACTGTTTTCTATTTGCCAAGGTGACATTGATACCCTTTTCCGACATTGTTCTTTTTCTTTTTGGAGAGGTTTTTGCTATAGGGCGCGTGCACTCACCTTGCGGAAATCCCTTCTCCTCCGTTCTCCCCTTGGGATTCTTGGGCATGCACGCACACACGCCCGGCGTGAGTTTAAGCCATCAGGTCCGGGACTACATGGGAGTTCAGCGACATAGCCATTACACCTGGTCCCCTGACATTGTTCTTAATACTATTCATTAAGACATTGTCTTCTAGGCAGATTTTGGGTCCCACCACATTGGCCGCTCCATTTTCCATTTTAAAGGCAAAGTGTTTCTCAGGACAAGCATTGAGAGTCCATATTTATATCTGAGAGGCTTTGTAGAGTGTGCATCTGTGTCCAATGCTGATTTTGCAAATTGATTTCCTAAAGTTGCATCCATTTTTATCTCAAATACTTGATAAATAACACAAATTGTCAGTAAAAATACTGCCACAGCTACCACCAACTTTGCAGCACCTGCTACCCTCATGTTCGGTTTTTCAGTCTATGGCACTATTTATTAAAGAAGCTCCAGACTCCTGCCTGCCTCTCTGCAGCACAGCGTGCCTTCTGGGCTCCCTGTGGTCAATCCTGCTGGAGGTGGACTGGAGCTTCTGCCTTTAAGTAGCTCTTCCACTTCCCCCTGGGCTCCACCAGCTTTCCCTCACTCCTGTGAGTGGCCTCAATGTTCTTAAGGTATAGTAAAATTACACTCATGGAGCATACCCTTAAATAACATTTAAAGCAAACTGGTACATTTTAGGTAAGATAATTGTCTCAGTAAGTTTTTTTTTTTTTTTTTTAAAGAATTCATAGAAGTTAAGGTTATTTCCATGTTTGACACATTAGCTTAAAATAATAAAGGAAAATCATGATTAGTTAACGGAACAGAACTCACTGGACTACAAAGAAACTTAACTCTCACTGATTCTTCTTATTTTGCAGCAGGATAAGTCCAGCCCTTCTTGGGCATCCAGCTACTGTTTTTCAGTGCTGTTTTGTGCACCTTTTTAGCAGTGAAGAAATTGATGTTGGGAGAGTCAGGGTTAGGGAGAAAGAAACAGTAAAATCAAAACATAGTGGTACTAATACATTCAGAGAGTACTCGTGAGTAAGTGATGAAATGAAGTTGTATATAAATTGAAATGTGTAAGTGAAAAATAATGGGTAAGCCTAATGTTTCAAAACATAGAGAAGAAAGTATAAAAACACATTAAGGGATTTAGAAAAGATTAATTAATTAATTTATTATCACAATCTTGTTTATATTACATTGACTCACGTATAACTTTACAGTGTATTACATTTCTTTTACCAAAGTAATACCAAGCACATCAGTCAATAGACATTAAAAGCCCCATCTTCATCATCCAATAGCTTTTTATTTTTTTCCTGATTATTATTCCAATTATTTTTTTAAATAGTCAATCACTACTTATCATTTTGCTTGTAAAAAGAGTACTGGGACTAGCAGTTAGCGTAACCGCTATGTCGCTGGACTCCCATGTAGTCGACTGTGGTTTGCGTCCCGGACCCAGTGGCTTAAAACTCATGCTGGGTGCGTGTGCGTGCATGCCCAAGATCTCGAGAGGAGGATGGAAGAGAAGGAATTGCGGCGTGACCATCCCCGCTGGGGGGTGATTTCTCGCTTTCTATCTCTCTGTCTCTCTCTGTCTTTCTGGCGAGCACATATGCCCCATAGCAAAAACCTCTCCAAAAAAAAAAAAAAAGAGTTGGATGTAAGCTTTGGGGTTTACTTCTGGGGTCTCTATTCTATTCCATTGGTCCACCTGTCTGTTTTTGTGCCAATACCATGCTGTTTTTATTATCACAACTTTATAGTATATTTTGTAGCAGGGAGTGATATGCTGCTCCTTTCCCATTCCACACTGTCTTATCATTGTTAACTATTTTCACTGCTTTTAATCCCTGCCATAGAGTGCAGATAGTCGGTATATATTAAGTGGATACATGCAATATCTTTCTTATATGTCTTGGCTTCACTCAGCAATAGATCCTCCATATCCGACCACTTTCTATCAAATGCCAGGGTCTTGTTTTTTTATGGCTGAGTAGTAGTCCATAGAATATATGTGCCACACTTTTTCTTTTTCTTTCTTTCTTTCTTTTCTTTTTTTTTTTTGAGAGCTTAACTGCTCTAACTGCTGATCCCGACTTTTTATATTTTTAATCTTTGCCATTCTGACAGGGCTTAGGTGGCATATCCTTGTGGTTTTTATCTGCATCTCTCCTATGATGAAGGATGTTGTGCATTTCCACATAAGTTTTTTGGCTATTCGTATGTCTTCCCTAGAGAGATTTCTGTTTAGCTCATTTTCCCATCTTTTAATTGGGTTTTTATTTATTTATTTATTTTTATTTTTTCACGTAAGGCACTTGAGTTCCCTGTGTATTCTGGTTATCAGTCCCCTGTCTGCGGCATATTTAACAAAAATATTCTCCCATTCGATTCACACTTGTTACTGTGTCCTTTGCTGTGCAGAAACTTCTTAGTCTGCTATAATCCCACCTGTCTATTTTAGGGATTATTGCCTGTGCTTTGGGAGTCTTATTTAAAAAGTCTTTGCCTACTCCAGTGTCTCTCAGAGTTTCACCAGTATTTTCCACCAGTATTTTTATAGTTTGGTCTTAATTTCAGATCTTTGATCCATTTTGAGTTGATTTTTTGTTAATAGTGAAAGATGCAGATTGTTTCATCTTTCTGCAGGTAGATACCAAGTTTTTCTAGCACCATTTACTAAAAAGATTTTTATTTCCCAATGAATTGACTGGTATCCTTTGTCAAAAATCAGTTGGCTGTAAGCTTTGGGGTTTATTTCTGGGGTCTCTTTTCTATTCCATTTTGGATCATCATGCTAATAGCTTAATCTCTATACTATGCTGTTTTTGTTTTTGTTTTTGTTTTTTCGGAGAGGTTTTCTTGCTATAGGGTGCGTGCGCTCGCCATACAGACAGAGAGAAACATAGAGACAGAAAGCGAGAAATCACCCCCCAGAGGGGATGGTCACGCCGCAATCCCTTCTCCTCCATTCTCCTCTCGGGATCTTGGGCACGCACGCACATGCACCCGGCATGAGTTTTAAGCCACCGGGTCCAGGACACGAACCGCGGTCGACTACGTGGGAGTCCAGCGACACAGCCATTATGCTAATTGCTGGTTCCCAATACCATGCTGTTTTGATGATCACAGCGTTATAGTGTATCTTGGAATCAAGGAGTGATAATGCCTTCTACTCCACTCTTCTTGCATTGGATTACTTTGGCAATACGAGGTCTTTTATGATTGCAGACAGATTCTATGATTGTCTTTTCTATGTCTGAGAAGACTATTTCTGGTATTTTGATTGGAATTGCATTAATCATGTAGATTAATTTATGTAGAATTGCCATTTTGATTATGTTGATTCTTCCAATCCAGGAACATGGGATGTCCTTCCACTTTTTTTAATGTCACTTTCAATATCTTTTTTAAGACTTTCATAGTTTTCTTTATAAAGGTCTTTGATTTCCTTAGTTAGAATTATCCCTAGGTATCTTACACATCTTGTGGCTATGGTGAAAGGGATTCCTTTCTTCAGCACTACTTCATTCAACTTGTTGTTCATACATAGAAATGCTATAGATTTTTGGATGTTGATTTTGTATCCTGTATTCACTTATTACTTCAAGAAGTTTTTTTCATGGAGACCTTTGGGTCTTCTAAGTATACCATTATGTCATCTGCGAATAAAGATATTTTCAACTCTTCTTTGCCTATTCGAATGCCTTTTATATTGTTTTCTTTTCTGATTGCATTAGCTAAGACCTCTAGCAGTATATTAAAGAGCAATGGAGAAAAAGTGGGCAGCCTTGGGAACGAGCAGTTAGCGTAATGGCTATGTCTCTGGCCTTCCACATAGTCGACTGCGGTTCGCGTCCCGGACCCGGTGGCTTAAAACTCACGCTGGGCGCATGTGCGTGCGTGCCCAAGATCCCAGGAGGAGAATGGAGGAGAAGGGATTGCAGCGTGACCATCCCCCCTGGGGGGTGATTTCTCGCTTTCTGTCTCTCTGTCT